CACGACGGCCCCAGAGAGGAGGACGAGTCCAAGCTGGCGTCCGGCCTGCAGGTAGGAGCGAGCGAGGCGACTCCGGCTGGTCGGGCCTTTCACCTCCCCGGAGCGGGAGTGGGGCGGGGTTGGGCATGGACCATCCTGCCCGGCTGGGGCCGGAGCCTTCCCCCAAGTCGGGAGTTGAGGCTTTCTCCCCCTGGGGTGGGAGTGGAAGCTGAACCCCTCTCTCCAAAGCCGAGACTTGGCAGGTCCTCCTGTGACCAGGCTGAAGCTGTCCCCTCTCCCGCCGCCTCCGGGCTGGAGCAGAAGCTAAATGTTCTGGCTATACACCCACATTGGACTGGGCTTTGGTCTTGAGGCCACAGCTCAGCTTTCTGCCCTGGGCCCACCTGCTCCCCAACCCACCCACTGGCCATCTCAGGGCGCTGGAGTCTGCAAGGCAGCCTCTTGCTTGTTCCCCTGCACTGCCTTTAGCCGCTGCCCCTCAGCAGCTGTGCCCCCAGCATCAGTCTCCAGGGACTTCCTCCTCTCCCTGCCCAGCAAGGTAGTTGGAGCAGCCAGCCAGGCTGTCCAGAGGACTGTTTGGTGGGGCTCCTGACCTGAGGTGGAAACCCAGAAAAACTTGCCCTTTCTCCCCTCTATACTCACGTCCCACAAGGCGTCCCCGGCCCCACCCCTCAGATCCCTGGTTTGGCGAATCCTGCTGAGAGTGAGCAGTAGGAGGATTCTCGAAAGCTTCCAGCTTGCCACCTGGCAGAAGGTCACTTTCTTTTGAGCAGAGGAGATAATAGGAGGTACCCTGCCAGTGTTCACTGTGAGGCGGGGGTGGCAGGGGCCACAGTTGCTCTGGGAGGGTTGTGGTACCTGGGGCTGGGTGGCTCGCCCTAAGCTTGCTCTGACAAAAGAGTTTTGAGTTGGTCTTTTGGCTGAGCCTGCCAAGGAAGGCAGGCCCCTGCAGGAGTCTTGGAGGGTCGGATGCAGCGCCGGATGAGGATGAGGCGTGGCAGAAGATGCGTTTGGCTCTGCAGACACTGCATCGGGCAGCAGGGGACTCTGGGAGGCTGGTGCAGCCAGAAGGCATGGCTCTTGACAGCCTTCTAGTAGAATCTCTGGAATTGTGCATGTGAGTGGGGATGCCATTTGGGGTACTATTCCCAGAAAGCCTTCCCTGATCTCCCCAGTTGCGTCAGGTGCCCCCTCTGTGCCCACAGTCCTCTGTGCTTCCCTCTGGTAGCACTCCCCATTATGTGATGAAATGTTGTGTTGATCTGTCTATTCCCTGCACTGGACTGTGAACTCCACAGGAACCCAGACCATGTCATATATCTGATCTTCCATGCCTAGGCCAAGGCCTTGTCGACACAAAGATGAACTAACTAGGTAAATAAGAGAAAGAATGAATCAGCCCAGAGCCTGTGCTTATTATAACCTAGTTTTAGTGCTGTCTCCTTTGTATCTCAGATTACAGTGAGATTTTTAATTAATGAAGCTGTCATTGCTTATTGAGTATCTGAAGCCCCACCTTCATCCCCACCTCCTACCCTCAGCTGACTCCAGTTCCAGAGGAAACTCCCTGGGTTGGACCTGGAGACCTCCTGGGTCTGGCTTCCAACCCTGAGTCTGCTTTTTTCCTCTAATCTACTCTGTACCCCCTTTGGCAGTGCTGTTATCCAAAAAGGAGAGTGGAAAAGGAGAGAGCCTGAGTGATGTCTGTCATCTTCTCTCCTTCCCATTCAGATCATACAGTACTTTAGGGTCCCTGACATGTAGAGGAGCCGAAAAACTTGATGATGGCTTAACCATTCAGTTTTATTGAGGACACAATTTTCCCAAGGGCTATAAGCTTTGTTAACTCTTCTGATATCTAGGTCTACCACATTCATATATTTGTGACCTGTCAATTCATTCATTTATTCTAATAGGCACCTGACATACCTTGCTCCTGACCTTCCCACCTCCCCTGTATTTCTCCAGAGCATTTAGCACAAATATGATGGGTTAACTATGGTGTAATTATTTGTCTGCTTTTATATATAAACTAAGATTGCAAAAACCAAGTCAGTCACCATCATACCCCATGCCCATTGATTAATAAATGTTAATGAACAAACTGAATGGGATATATTTATATATTTACCCTGTTTTTCAGATGAAGAAATAGAAACCCAAATAAATATTTTCCCAAGACTGATGATGTAGCTCAGTGGCAGAGTGCTTACCTAGTATGTGCAAGGTGCTGGATTCAATCCCCAGTACCACAAAAAATAAACTAAAATTGCCCAAATGACTTCCACTATAGGTATGAAGCCAAAAAAATTCACTCTTGTATTTTGGGGAATTTTTAATAGCTACAGAAATGAAACACATTGACAAACTGTGTTCTGATTGTGCTGCACTTATTTGCTGGAGGTGGAATCTGGATTCAAAAACAGGCTTTTGTGCGCTGGTGAAAAGTACGAATGAGAGGGTGGGGGATCAATCATTGTTCTGTCCACAGGCATGCCTTTGGTGAGGATTTCTAGCTCCCACCCCAACTTGAACATAGACTGGATAAGGAAAGTCAAACTTATGTCATATGGCAACCCCAGTCCAAAGGCAGCAAATAAGACCACTCCCAGTCCACACTTTTTTTAAAAATCTGTTTTTATCTTAATGTGAACTAGTATTTTTAAAAAATCAAGAAGTTTCCCACAAATCTGAATTCTTGCTTCTCAAAACTAAGACTATGGTAATACCAGGCCCACATCTCCACGAGATAGTAATCTATCTGAGTAGCACTGCTGCCTTTATGTGGCATGTGCTCTTTATGCCTCTCTGGTTCTTTCTAGGCCTCTTCACTCATTTGTATAACTGGTACACATTTAAATGTAAGACCTCAAGGTTAATTGAAATCCCAAAAGTCCTTCCAATTTTTTCAGGCCTCTAAACCACATTGATCTGATCCTTAAGAGCATAAATCCTTTTACTTCACGAGCAAACTAAAACAGGTACTGCCTATTAGCAAAGGGAAAAAAACACACAAAACTTAAAAACAGTTGAAGGAGACTATGGGGAATAGTGTTTACCAGCTTGAGTTGAACTCCCAGCTCTGCCTTCTGCTTTGTGATTCTGAGACCATTTTTTCTCTCTTTGAGCCTCATCAGTGACTGCACAAGAGAATACGAAGCAGCATGCAGAGCACCTAGTACATAGAGATTTCTCTGAGGTGGCAGGAACTGTGCCTACCAGCCAGACAAAGCCTAAATATCCTCACTTGCTAGAACTACTAGCTGTCTTTGGTCTCTCTTAGACTACTCAGCTGTATTCCAGCTGTATACTCAGCCCCCAGGAGACTTGCTAGAATGTAAACCAGCAATGAGGGGGGTGGGTGTAAGCTCATGCTGTTCTTCCACCCCTCATGTACCTCTTCAATGCTGATCTCTTTACAGTGTCCCCTGAGACTTTGTCCAGTTTAGTTTTAAGGGACTCTAGAGACCCCGTTCTCCTTCTGCTCAGAGGAAACCTGTTTCCTCAGGAATTGGAGCAGATGATCAGTTGGTCTCTATTAAAACCATCTCATGTTTAATTCACTCAGTAAGCTCTCTGCAACAGGTTCTTCATTTGGGATTCACAGAAGGATGAGATAGTCCCTACCCTTAGGGACCTCCTGCTTAGAATCCCACCCTTCCCTGAACCACTTCCATACTAGTGGGAGGAAGTGATACTGAGGGGGCAGCCCTGCCACACAATGGTTCTTTATAAGCCAGTAGAGACTTGCCGTGTAAAAATGCCATCAGTCTTTGAAGATGAAGGCTTAACCACCCAGGTTAATTTCCCTAAAATGTCCCAGAATAATAAGTTTAATGTCCATTATCAGATGGATACTTAAGATTCTAACACCTTTCCTTATTGTACCTAGAATTTTTCAGAGCATGGACAGTATTAATTCATCTTTGTGGTAATGTGTATGGTCTTTACAGGTCTGTTAAACTAAATTATAATTTAAAAATCAGGTTTCTATGACTTTATTCTTAACCCCTGTCCCCTCACTGGGCCATACTGACAGTCACTCATTCAGTTAATTCAGGCTTGATAAATATGCTGTGATGCCCAATTATCCTCTCTTCTGATGTTTATTCTGCAGACACTAACTGACCCCTGTTTTGTACCAGGCCCTGAACTAGCTGTAAAGGCAGAAGCAAATGAGACATGGTTCTTGCCCACAAGGGGCTCATGGTCTACAGACCATGTATATAGTAATTGCAGTAATGCTAGAAGAATGTATTGTATCAGCTTCCTCTGAGTAAAGGTTTAAATCATATCCTCGTAAACCACATCCTCATAACTGGCCTTTGAAAGTGTTTCAGTCAGCCTCTTGGTTTGTTTTCTCATGTTTGAAATGACAGTGAGTTCAGGCTCGCAGGGTTAATGTTAGGGTTCTGTCAAGCACTTCGCACAAATGGTAGCTATGGTTATTGTAGATGCTTGGTGCTGAGAATGCCCAAGACATGATAGCCTAGAGGCTGGATCAGAAAGGGCTTCTCAGAGCCTAATTTTCACAGTTGAGAAGAAGTTCTCCAGAAAGCAAAGTGGGAGAAGGAGGTCTAAAGAAGGAAAGGAGCACATACAAAGAGCCACAAACGAGCACTGACTGACTCATGGGTGAGCCTGGAGAGATCAGGCTGCAGAAGTTAGCAGGGCTCTTGTTTCACCACACCAAGTAGTTTGGTCAGTGAGGAATCAATGAAAGGTTTTAAGTAGGAAGTTGATCAGCATGTGCCTCAGTAAATCCTCTCTGATAACATGTGAAGAAGTAATTCTCAGTGGGAGAGGTACTGTGATTGCTTGATTCCACAGCTTCCTCACTCCTGCCTAACTAATCATTGGATCCCCTGTGCTTTTTTGGACCCTATCCCAGACCTACAAAACCAGAGTCTCCAGGTCTAGAACCCAGAAATCTATTGTTGTTAGAGTGCCCCAGGTATTCTGAATGTGGCTGGGTCTAGGAACTGCTGAATTGAGGAGGCCTAGGGTTTTGTTTAAAGAATGAGGCCACCCAGGAAGGAACTTTTTCATAAGCAGGAATAGAAACAGTTTTAGTTTTTTTTAAAAAAAGAGAAGCCTTCCCCCCATTTCTCCAGTTGTTGCCCTATTAATGATATTCAACTGCTAATTTCCCATAGCATATCAAAATACTTACCTATGTCTGTGATGTTCTATAGCCTCTGCTAAATGACTGGAATATAGTATCTCTTGGGACAAGGCTCTGCCCTTGGAAATCACACAGTATTGTAGAGAAGATAAATTTCAACTACTAGGTTATTGTGATCAGCTTTTTTCTAGAAAGATACAAAAAAGCGTTAGCTCATCCCAGGGTGAATCCCAATTCATTCTTCCTGTGGACTTAGGATGTGACACCTAAACTGAGGCAGGGGTTACAGCAGGTGTGACTGCATTACATATTTGGAAAAAAGGAATGTTTAATGGTCCTTCTTGGCAGGATGTGTAGAAGCAGAAAATTCTGAGCAGAGGCATACTTGTGTCCCAGGAAGGTCCTGCATTTGTGTCCTTTGGTTCTGTGTCCATGCTACCACCCTCATTCTTCAAACTCTAAGCAGCAACCAGCTGAGTAGCTGCATGCAGCATGGAGAAGAACATGTGCCATCCTAATGGCCATCTCCCCTTTATACTCTACCCAATACTCTTGACGCCCTTTGTGATTTCCCCCTTCATTCTGAAATGAGTAGATACCTCTATTTTGAAAAGTGATGTGGGGAAACTAAAACAGAAACAAGGGGCTAGAGGGACGACAAACACTGAAGGTTCTTATTAGGAAATTACAGCCATGTTATATAACGTGGACTGGGGGTTCAAAGAGTTCTTGAAGATTACTTGTCTAGTCCTCCATCCTGTGCTTCAAGTAATAAATTTGGTTTGGGCAAGTCTCACTTAGTAAGTTTCCCTGTCATTTCTTCCAGGGCAGAAGAGGAAAGAAACTAACGGGTATTGAGCACCTACTGTGTGCCAGGCCCAGGCCAGGTACTTTACATAATTTATTTCCTTCTGTCCTCACAACTCTGTGAAGTATGGTGTTATTCCCATTTCATAAATTGAGGGACCCAAGGCTCAAAGACATTCCAAGAT